AAATGGCCAGCAATAGATTTTAACAAGCGTGTGCACTACTTATTGCTGAGTTATTGCCAGTTTCACACCAATAACTTGCAAAAATATGTAAGAGGAGGAGCAAGATACTGAACAATACCTCATTAAATAATATAAATCATTGGGTTTAGGAGAAATTAAACCAATCTAACTTGAGGCTTTAATTGATTCTCTAGGAATTAAATTTGTTGTAGCAAGTTTACATGGAATAAAATATTTTATGTCAGAGCTTAACTCCCATTCCAACTTCACAAAGTTATGCAGTAAAAGGTTCCATAAGCAGCCAATTTCAAATAAGTTAGCAGTTCCAGCAATTAAGCCTACTAACTGTCGTGTAAAACATTTGGACCTGCAAAACACTTCTCAACTTTACTAGGTACTTTTTTCTTACGCTTTCCTAACTGCTGAACTTATCCTTGTTGAAACCTTGCCATTGCCAAAGATAAAATTCAAATCAGTAAGCCTAACCATACCATCATATATAAAATTCATCGTTTCAGGAATAAGCAAAATTTACTTAGCCCCTTCACGAGAGTGTTAAGGACAGTTGACATAGCCCACATGACAATAAGCAAAATGTTTCCAGAGTAATGTTAATAGCATTAAGTTATTAAGAGTCCTTGGAGCCTAGACGTTCAAAGCTACAAAGCAACTTTCTAATATCACATACTAGATATTTAAATTGCAATGACTTTAGCATTTGAAAAAATATTTTGAGGTGGTAAATAACTCTTCAGCGGTTGTTTGAAAATAACAAAATTAGCATTGCTCTTATGGCGGGAAAATCCAAGATGGCTGTTGGCTTCTATGGACTCCCTTGGAAATACATTCAACACAACAAACAACATCACTCTAATCTCATAGAAAGTTATACTTGATATTTACATCATAATCGCTTTGGTGTTTGAAAAACTATTTTTGGATGATAATTACTCTTCAGCAGCTGTTTGAAATTATCCAAGAAAGCCTCCAAAGACTCTTTAAGTTGCCACAAGACATATCCACACTTACAGCTAGATATATTCAATGCAATACAGAACTAGGCTAGCCTAAATGAGGTGAGATGATAGATTAACTAGGTAACTTAAAAGTTACTGTGTTGACAGTGGGTAAGGCTAATAAATAATTTTAACAAAGGAGAATATAACATTTTATTTCAGAAGCCTAACAAAAACTTCTTACAATATGCCTAATCATGATCTTAATGTCGGTCTACTAAGTTAATTGTTATCTTCATCGTCAAATTTAGTATGCTTCCTTTTTCTTGAAGCAGAACTGCGATCTGGGTTGCTTTTGGGTTCCCATAAACCGCTACGAACAAACCTTTTGGTAGCTCCTTGATCCAATCTAGGCATTGATTTCCTATCATGAATTTGTTTAGCTCTGTCCATGTACTTTTTCACTCTATCAAGTTCAGTTTTTATGTGATTTACAGGGTCTTCCCCCTGAGTCCTTAAATAAACCCAATAGAGAGATGTTAAAGTGTAGGACAAAAACAAATCATACTTAACTTTATCTTCAGCATTCAATTTGGCATAAACTCCACTTTCACAGCATGTTTTGATAATACCTCCCAAAGCAGAAAGTCTCTTTTCAAATTCTTGAACACTGTTTTTAAACTCCACATCATCACAGAGTTCACTTACTAAATTCTCACTTTGTCCACTCATCGTTTTGCTTTAATTCGCAAAGTAATTGCTTAAAGTTATAACTTGGATTTGTAAAAAATGTATAGTTCAGCATACAACTACCTATCTACATTTGAACTAAAATAGAATAGTGTGTTCTTTTTATGTTGTGTTTGTGGTATGTAAGGTTAGGTTATGTTATGTTGTTAGTTACTGTTTTTTAGGTTGTGTCCAAGCTTGTTTGTGCCACCTGCAAGTGCACTTGAAGAAGAAGAGTCTAGTCTCCAGTCTGCACAATTTGTTTTTCAGGATTAATTTTGCCAACAGTGTCATTTAGAGGCTTCTGATTGACTATAACGGAGGTTTAGTAATTGAAAAATTATTTTGTTCATAGAATAAAATTATAAATGCCTCAGATTCAATTTTATATTTTTTTATTATGCAATTAAACCGTCATAACCTAACCAAACCAACCAAACGTGCTGACAATGAAAAAATCTAATGAAGGTTTATTAATCGAAAAAATAGTTCTGTTCATGAAATAAAATTATAAATGCCTCAAATCCTATTTTATAATTTTTTTATTATAAAATTAAACTATCATAACCTAACCAAACTAACCAGACTTGCTAATAATGAAAAATCAAATGAAGGTTTAACCGAAAAAAATTTCTGTTCATAAAATAAAACTATAAATGGGTCAATTTCAATTTCATAATGTTTTAATTATAAAATTAAACCGTCATAACCTAACCAAACCAACCAAACTTGTTGATAATGAAAAATCCAATTCAAAAAAATAGTGCATCAGGTGGGATTCGAACCCGGGCCCTTCTGATCATCAGCCCAGCACTCTATCCACTATACCATTGAGGCCGTTGGTATCATCTGTATGGTCGCGGTAATGATGTTCCCTCAGCCAATCAGAAGCCTCAAAATAATACTGAAGGCAACACTAATCCTGAAATAAAAATTCAGCCTCCAGCATCTCTGTCCCTCAAAAAGGCCTCTGGTGGCTCAAACAAAACAGAAACAAAGCAAATAATACCCCCGCCGCAGCAAACCTGCAGACTAAGCGAATTTCAACTTGTCTGATTACATATTTAATCAAAAATTCCATAAAAAAGACATAATTTATTTCCAATTTAAATAACATTAGATATAACGAGTGCTTAGGTTGGCTGCTACGGGTAAGGTATAAAGTGTTTTTTTTTCACCAAACGTCATTAGTATAGGATGAAATAAAAAAATTGCTATTTTTTATCAACATATATCCATAAACAAGTAAACTACAACACTTCTCATTTTCTCCATAAGAATAACATGGGAAATTTAAATTTACACTTTTTGAATTTTCTCCGTAACCATTAAGCATACAACAATGCTACAATATACTAAATCATTAATTTCTTTTTTTAACCTCTACAAAATGGTTGGGAAAGAAATTCCAAAATTTTATGTTTTTAGGGTCAACGACGTACTCGCTCCCATAATAAAGAAATAAAAAGTTGACTCTGCTCTGCTGCTACTTTACATGCCTACTCGCAACTCGATAAAAATAGGGTTTTCCCATTTTGACCCTAAAAACTTAAAATTTAGCATTTTCTTTCCAAACCATTTTGTAGGGCTTAAAAAAACAAATAATTTAGTATATTGAAGCGTTATAATGCGTCATTTGTTGTTGTTCCGGATCGGTATGACATACAATAAAGTCTCGACACACGACCGACGCGCGTATAAATGTCCTTATTAACTAAAATAAAAATATGCCTACTGTGTATTTGTTTGTTTTATTCGTAATGTATATAAGTGTAAAGTTCGTGTACGTGTTTCAAAACTTCAAGACGCACCCAATGGGGAAGATCAAGGTCTTGTATTAGGACTGATGATGGCAATTTATTCTGCCGAAATGCATATCCTGTAATAGGACACAGCACATAAGGATCGACTGGTGGACACAGGTAATTTAACCTTTTATTGTTATAATGCGCTTAATGGTTACGGAGAAAATTCAAAAGAATCTAAATTTAAAATTGTTATTCTTATAGAGAATAAGTAAACTGTTGTAGTTTGTTTATGATCATATTTTGATCAAATTTGGGAAATGCATTCTAAATGCATACTCAACTATAACCATTTTACAAAAAAACACCTTTTTACCCTCCCTGTTGCAGCAAACCTAAGTACTCATTAAACCAATGTTATTTAAATAGGGAATAAATGTGATATTTTTAAGGAGACATTTTAGTGTAAATCCAATCAGGCCAATGGAAATTCGCTTCTGCAGGTTTTCTGCGGCGGGGGTATTTATATTTGATGTTCCACAAGGAGGATAGGTACTTTTAGCAGACCATTACACGTTCAACACCGATATGTTTGCCACAGTCCACTTCGTTTTAAAGGTACGCAAACCAACCAAAGATTTCTCAATTAAAACACACCCAAGTGGTCTGGAAGACAGCTAGGCTAACGGAAATAGCATCGTGTGAAGTGAACGAAAACAAGCGCACTATCCGACTCGCTGGCTTCTTAAATGCTGGCGTGTAGCTTGAAAACTCGCATATGTGAAAAAGTTATACCTCAATGGTTTGTTGGCATAGTTTTTATATTTTATGTTCCACAAGGAGGGTAGTTACTTTTAGCAGACGATTACACGTTCAACACCGATATTTTTGTCACAGTCCACTTCGTTTTAAAGGCACACAAAACAAACCCAACAAACCACAACCAGCAAGATTTCACAATTAAAACACACCCAAGTGGTCTGGAAGACAGCTAGCGGAGGGGAAATTTTTTAAGAGAAGAGAGTGACGCCACGCCATGACAGCCAAAATAGAGTGCTTTCATTTTGTCCGATTCGAAAAACCACAGCTGAAATAAAAATTTTGTAGCCGGCCAGCCTGGCTGCTGCCATGGTGGATGGAAAAAACATAGGTGTGCTATTCCCGTCATATTCTGACGTCACTCAGATTGCAAACAAAAGATCACCTGATTGTAACTGTCAAATTAGTATGTATTTTTTGTTTTGATTTGATTGTTTTTGTTTTTTATAAAAACACTAAAAACAATAACAACCAAATCAAAACAATTACTATACTAATTTGACAGTGTAGTGGTGGTAGTGAAATTATTCATCACATCAATTCATCCCAATCCCAATCCAATTCAATGGTAGTGGACACTGGACAGTGGTAGTGGTAGTTGGTATATAGTGAAGTGAAGAGTGAAGAAGTGAAGTGAGATAACAGGACAAAAGTAAATTTTCCTTTTCTTTGGTTAACTTAACATTTTATTATCAGCCAACAGGACTACATTTTTCCCTTTGAAAAGGGTTATCTAAGTTAAAAGACTAAATTACTTTTAGTTATGAGTGGTGCTAAAGCAGGTGTGAAAAGAAGAAAGCAAACATTTACTAGTGAAGAACTCACGGAATTGCCCAAAAATGTAGGTAGGCCAATTCAAGTTTACATACTGTGATGGATTTGATAATAGTTGTACAGTAGGTAGCCTACCAACTCTTTATCTTAAATACTTAAATAATCATGTTATACGAAAATGCCACAATTTTTAAGGAAGAAGTCAGGAAAATCCTTTCCAGTTAAAGTGTGTACATTAGATGCTGAGTTGGAGTTCAACTTAGAATGGCGAGCTACAGGAAGAGATTTGTTCGATTTAGTTTGTCGAACTATTGGCCTGCGGGAAACATGGTATTTTGGGCTTCAGTATGAAGATTCTAAAGGCTTTATATCTTGGCTGAAGTTAGATAAAAAGGTTCAAGATCAGGCCATTTTCCAGCAACCGGGAACTACGGCATTTATGTTCCTAGCTAAATTTTACCCCGAAGATGTCGGTGAGGAGCTTGTACAAGAAGTAACACAGCACCTGTTTTTTCTTCAAGTTAAACAAGCTATTTTATCTATGGACATTTATTGCCCCCCTGAAGCTTCAGTCCTTCTTGCCTCATATGCAGTACAAGCAAAATATGGTGATTATGATGATACAACTTACAAGCCTGGAATGTTAGCAAGTGAAGATCTTCTTCCTCAACGAGTAATTGACCAATACCAGATGACACCTGAAATGTGGGAGGATAGAATTAAAATTTGGTACGCAGATCATCGGGGTATGTCAAGAGATGAAGCAGAAATGGAATACTTAAAAATAGCCCAAGACCTGGATATGTATGGTGTAAATTATTTTCCAATTAGTAATAAGAAAGATACTGATCTCTGGCTAGGGGTAACTGCATTAGGCTTGAATATGTATGAAAAAGAAAACAAACTGACTCCTAAAACCAGTTTTCCATGGTCTGAAATTCGCCATGTTAGTTTTGATGAGAAGAAATTCACAATAAAACCTGTTGATAAATCAGCACCTAATTGTGTTTTCTTTTCACGCAAAGTAAGGATGAACAAACTAATTTTGGATTTATGTATAGGCAATCATGATCTATTTATGAGAAGAAGAAAACCTGATTCAATGGAGGTACAGCAAATGAAAACACAAGCAAAAGAAGAAAAAACCCGTAGGCAAATAGAACGAAACAAATTGGCACGTGAAAAACAACTAAGAGAAACAGCTGAAAGAGAAAAAGCAGCTATGGAACAAAGGCTGTTGCAATACCAAGAAGAAATTCGTTTAGCAAATGAAGCTCTGCGGAGGTCTGAAGAAACTGCTGAATTACTAGCTGAGAAATCGAGAGTGGCTGAAGAAGAAGCTATGCTCTTGAGTCAAAAAGCAGCAGAAGCTGAACAAGAAATCACCCGAATACGCTTAACAGCTCTTAAGACTGAAGAAGAAAAAGTATATTTAGAACGTAAAACAAGAGAAGCTGAACAGTTAACTGCTCGGTTGGTTGATGAGTCCGAGAGGCGTGCAGCCGAGGCAAACCGCTTAAAGGATGAGCTTCTTCGTGCAAGACTTGCTGAGAAACAAGCTAAAGAAAAACTTCTCGAGTTTCTCTCTAGAAATGCGTATATTTCATCAAGTCTGTCAAATCTGTACCCAGAGCCCGTTCTATCCCCTCCAGATGACAACATGTGTAACAATGACGGAATTGGTAGTCTCTACAATCCTACTACTATTCTTGACTTGCAGGCACTACAACTGAATCCTAAACCATCACTCTCTACCACTGATATTTCATCTTTTGATCTTATCGGTTTACCAGATAATGATATGAAACAGCTATCGCTTGAAATTGAAAAAGAACGAGTAGAGTATTTAGAAAAAAGTAAACATCTACAAAACCAATTGAGGGACCTGCGCACGGAAATAGAAGTCTTAAAAGTTGGGGAAAAGCAAAGTGAATTAGACGCTCTTCATAACGAGCAAGTCAGAATGGGTGAAACTAAGTATTCTACTTTGAAAAAAGTTAAATCTGGTTCTACCAAAGCAAGAGTTGCATTTTTTGAGGAACTGTAAACAATATTTCCATGCACTTAGTGAAATTTGATGCTTCATCCTACTACACTTCCAAAAAAGGTAAATACAAGCCTCCTTTAAATTGCTATGTATGTTTGAAATTAAATTTTTATTTTCTTTTTGAGTTTTTAGTTTCTAAAACTGTTTGTTTAGCTACATGATTGTAGAAATAGGTAAACTCTTTTGGTGCCGACAAAGATTCTAACAGGTGTGTTTTTAACAACCACCTGCATTGGCAAGCAAGTCACAATTTTAAGATTTGATTTTTTTAATATCAAACCTTTGAAGTACCCTAGCCCTATCACTGTGTGAAATTTCTTCTACTGTGTGTTAGACCTACTCCTAACAGGAAAATTAAACGGTATCTGTCTTGTTAAGCTGCGTAACTTCCAGTCAAATTTGACCCCAAAACTTGCTTAATAATCTTAAATGCATCGCTATGTTAGCACCAGTACAGTTCAAGTTATTTGTTGTCTTCGTTTTGTTTTGTTTCAGATTAGTCTTTTTAAAGGTCTAATTACATTAGAACTCCAAAAACACGAATCGCTTTACTTGTTGTCTACGTTAAACTTTCCTAGCATAGGCTATAGTCACTAACAAGACTACAAGATCGCGCCACTCATCCTACACTCATGTTCATTCATACTTGACTTAAAATACCCACTTTGTATGGTTGCCATTTAATAAGAAAGTACTAGAGGTCGTCCAGTGGTCGAAACTCGACCAAAAATATTTAATGTACAGACTTCTTTATTTTCATTCCACACTTTGAATAGAACATGTGATTGGAGTTTCTTCCATTTGTTTTGATTTTCTGTTTATATTTCGTTGTTATTTCGTCACCAGCATGGCAACTCATAATATCCATGTTAAATTTTTCAAAATTTTAAATTCATTTTTTGTGCTTATTTTTGAGCCTATTTTAATTTATAAAGGGATTCTGCACACCTACAGGAAAATAGCTTTCTAACAGTATGCGTAGATTTTCCCTACGATGCACACGAGCTGAGAAAAAAGGTTTTAAAGAAACATGCTTGCCTATTAATATATAGATAGATAGATTTAAGTATAGATTTAGTCTTTCAAAGTTTGATTACCGGTACAGTAGAACTCTTAACTTACTTACTTACTTGCATACTTGTAGATATCCCGCTGGAAGCTTTTTCAGCCGTGGTCGTCATTTAACTATCCGAATTGCTTAAGAAAAGAATAAAAAAAAAAAAATAGGAAGCGTTGCTTAAGAAGTCAGGTGCCATGATCATGACAAAATCCAAAAACTCTTCTGCGGTAGTAATTTTATTGTCTTTTGCGGTCACGTTTACAAGATCCCAGTAAAATGTAAAATATAGGTATCCCAGGGTCAAGGAAAAATTGTCACCGTTCTCTGCCGTTGCGCCCAAATCTTGAATATCATCCTCTGTCTTTAAGACATTACCTTCGTCTCCCTTGATCTTGGAAAATCTTAATCATCCACCGTGATTGCGGTAAAAGCTTGAGTTTTTCTATCACGTAGTTCACGTATCACGTTGTTCTATCTTCCTGGTCTTGTGTTCTGGGATTTTAAAATTGTTAAATGGCCTTTTTTCTGCAAAATATCCCAAATTTCGGTAAAAATCTAACTATCCAAATTTTTATTAGCCTATCCGAATGAGTTATGGACCAAACTAAGTTTTAATTCGGATGATTGGAGTTCTACTGTACTTTTGGATTGTTTTGCTCCCTTTTTGTATGTCATAACAAACCCATTTAAAAAAATAAATAGGCTACTCCTGCCGCAGTAAACCTGCCGACTAAGCGGTTTTCATTTTTAAGCTCTTTAAAAAGGTCTAGAGAAAAAATTGGGAAATTTTGTGTTTTGAGGGTCAAAAATGAAAAAAAAAATTGTTACCCCATTAAACTTTTTTTTAATTTTTATCCCGTTCTCATGGTTCGATCATGCTGGTTTGCGAACTCATTCAAGTTTATCCTGCCTTACATCTTTGAAACAAATTTCATCAAAATCGGACAAAAATTACTCAAATTATCGCATTTACGGACACATACCGGTACTACATATGTAACTATATAGATACCAGTATATAAATTTCAACGAATAGGCCCTAGCGTTTTTGGCCTCTGGGAACATCAAAATGAAAAAGTAAATTGGTCCCAGGACTAGGCCTTACCGTGCCACCTAGCCCGTAATTAGCTATTTCCCTATAGGGAAATTCGCTAATATCATTGCAGGCCTACCTGGACTGATAAGTACGGTAACCAACCTGTTGTAGCTGTAAAAGCAAGAGATAATTTAGTGGTGTGAGTATAGAGTCGCCAGAAATATTAAGACTTATTAGGGGAATGCAATAAATAAAGAACAATTAATTTATTTAGCAAAATTTAATAAGTTAAGTTATCTAGAATAATTTAATCGTGATTCTCTTCTGAGATGAGTGTGCAATTTCCTGAAATGCGACGTGTGCAATTTTGGTTTGACCACATTCAGACTAATCGAGATTTTATATATCCTAGGCCAGGATTGGAGGAATTTTTTCTTATTTACTGAAAAACCTCCAGAAGCCTGAATCCATTAAGTATCTGTTTTAATAATATGAGGTCCTGGTCCCATTTGTTTCAAAATACAATAGTCTGCTGTATTTTTTTATTTTTTATTTGCAGATATTAGCCTATTTGGTAAAATATCTGTGTTTCTTTTCCTCCAGACTTACCTAGGCCTATGCCTATTATAATTTATACAAAAGTTTGCGTAATACCTATTACAAACATAAGACACTATTCTGAAGCCTACCTTTAAACGTTTTTTTTATTTAGCTTTAGAAATTATTTTCTATTTTGACTTACCGATACCAATCCTTGAAAGACGTAACATCTAGTCTCTAGAAAATTGAAATAGTCCCCATTAGCTTAAGGTCTAATGAAGAAGTCCATTATTTTGGTTACAATAAGTTTTAATTCGAGTTGAAGTTTTTTTTGATTATTTCAGTAGATCACGTAGGTTGTACTTAGCAATATTAAGTAGCCTACTAAATATATATTCTCTGTCTTTGCAGTTGGTCACTTTGGACAAGAATCCAGGCGTACCTTTGTTGAAGACTTGAAGCTTTCATACAAACGTTTTTTAATGAGTTACAAAGATAATTTTACCAACAGGTCTAAACCCTGTCTCAGGTTAAGTAAGTCGAGGCAGACTACCTTACCAGGGTAGGACAAGACAATGTCCAGTCATGCGAGTAAATCTCATTAGTCAATAGTCATACCTCAAGACAACATTTTAAAGTGGAAATGCGAAAATAATATTAAAATATGATCCATTCTTTATTTGAAAATTGCATTGTGAGTTATAGGTAATAAGAGAAAAAATAATTGTGTCTGCGCCATGTAAATTGGTCAACTTAAACTTTTTAAATTAACTGCATATACTTTAAGACGGCCTATTTACATTGGACAAACATACAATTGTAAGTTTTATGATGACTTGGAAAACAGTATCTGTTTTTTTCTCTCTTTTTTTAAATAACAAATTAGCAAAATGTTTAAACAAATGCATTACATTTCTTCTCTTTAACTTCATTGAGCCTGCCTTAACTTTACCTGAGACAGGATAAGGTAAAATCATTTCCTCTGTTAAAGCGTGTGCACGATTTGTTTATTTTTAACTGAAGTACTGTTCTATAATGTTGTTTGAGTGAAACATTTTAATAAACATTTTCAAGATCTTCCTGTTCAGGTGAATAATTATGGTATTTCAATTCTACAGACAAATATTTAGATAAATATTTAAAAGACCAAAGTGTTGCTCATATTCTTCTAAATATTATTATTATAAGCCTACTGCAACTTGTTATCTTGCTTGTTGTTTGTAAATACCTGCTTGTTAGATTCATGAGGACACGTTTTTAGAGCTTTGTATTCCAAAATTTCAGCTTCATTATTATATTTTTGCTTTATCATTATCTTATTGTATCTTTGTGTTCTAGTTTTGTTGATATAGTGTTTAACAAACAAAATCAAATCTAGGGAATGTGTATATTGTAGTTAAGGTATAATATAAAATATTTTTAGCACAGATTAAGTGTACTCTCTATTAGATTCCTCATCTTTATCGCCCAGCTGTGTAATTTTGAATTAAGTTTGATGCTCATTGAAGTCAGAGTTAGCTGATGTCATTATCTATTTTGTCCTGGTTCTATGAATTAGTTATCTGTTTTAGAAAACAATCTACTCTTCCATCCCAAAGTCATCAATTTCTCCAACAATTGTAAATACCAACTTTTCTAAACCAGAACATGAGTCAGTCAATAGTAACACATTCCTGTTTTACAAGTAATCAAAGCTAACTTCAAATGTTACAATAATTGTGGTAATTTTCTGTGTCTATTTTCAGTGATAATAGATGTTTTAAGTCTTTAAGCTTTATATTGGGCTACCATGGACTGTTGAAATCAAAGGTACATGCTAGCTTTGGAATTCTTTTGCCTACACATTTGCAACTGTTTATTTCAAGGTTAGTTATAAATTTTGTTAGTTCGAGATACAAAGTTAGAGTTCAACACTTTTCCTCCATAAATTTTTTCTTCAAGTTTATTAAATACTTTAAAACTATATTTTATCAAAAAGTTTAAGAAATGCATGTTATATCAAAATTCATACGTCTGAGTTTGGTAATGTAGGCCTATATATTAATATAGCAGTGGTTAATGAAGTTGTATTGTACGGTACTTAAATACAAAAAATAACATTTTATTATAAATTGTAATGTTTGTATCTACATTTTCCCCCCTAATAAAAATTGGTTTTGCTGCTTCATGGTAGCCCCAGTCATTTGCATTAAAGGCTGCAAGTTTAGTAAAGTCATACAAGTAAGTAGACAATTCTGACAAATTGTATAAGGCTGTGTCAGTTTTAAGATTATGATGGGTGCCTGAGTAGGTTTATAATATGTTGTATATTTGAATGTATGAATTTAGTTCCTAATGCAATCATATTCCCCACATAGAAGTAGAGAAAATAGTTTAGTCTAATCAAGTTAGAAACTCGTTGACTCATAGACTTTTTGTTTTTTATTTTAATTTTTGGTTCAGTTATTTTTAAATAATACAGTTGAGTACCGTTAATCAGCGTTACTTGGTAAGAATTTTAATTGTAGAATCGATTTTACTTGTGCTTTAATGAAAGTATTTGGGAAATATTAATGTTTTCAATCCAAATTCCTATTTACGGAATTTTGACAAAAAAGGTATAACATACACTTTAAATGTTTTTAATGGATTGGTGTTTACAAATTATAATTTTAGACAAGTAAATTTATGTAGCCTACTCATGTTTATAAACTTTATTTTTTACAATGAATGGACAGTTGTACAAAGTCTGTGGGTACATTATCTAAGTCTAATGTTTTGTGTGATTTGGATTAACAAAATATTTACTGTATTGCAGAATAACCTACATTATAAGGCCCTCTAGATCAAGGTAATTTTTGTCATTCCCTTGAACATGCCATAAAATTTAAAAATTTACATCTGTACTATTCTACAAGCTCAATAAAATCTCTATCCAAACATTTTGACATTTCCTAAAATAATCTCAAGAGTTTTAAGTAAGCATTAACATTGTCTGCATTACTTCATTGTCAAGATATTTTATATGACAACTTCAATAATAATAAAATGTATTGGGTATTTCACCCATATCTCTTAGGCACAAACTTACAGCTGTTTGAATATTGCACAAAAAGGTATGGATTAAATTACCTTTAGCAAATGTATTTATTTTAATTTGTGTCCTTTTACAATACTTATATTAATTTTCAAATCCAATCCACAAGGCTGTAACTTAATTATAAATATGCCGATTTAAATATTCAGGTAAAAAAGAATCCTTGTTGCGCTTAAAAGCTAGATTAATAAAGAAGGTTTTATTGACCTAGTAATTTGTTCACTAATAAAGTAATGATAAAAGTGCCTGTATCAAAAAATGTTAAGAGTTTTTTCTTAGTGCCTTAAATTGTATTGCCCTTTAGTGCTTTATGAAGATAAACAGTAAAAAATGTCCTTAGTGTTTGGACTGTTCATGCGCTTTAGTTAACATGAATTATATCAGGGGTCTCCAAACGTTGTCACACAAGGGCCAGATTTTAATATTTTGGAGTCCAGTCGAGCCATGATTACCTATGGGTTTGGGGGTATGGAATAGGGAGAGGGGGGTCCTCCCTTGGAAGTTTTTGCAAAACTATTTGCAAAGTCAACATTTTAAGCACTTTGACGAAGAAAAAGTTTTTATCTCTTGCAATCTGAAAAGGGGGGTTTAAGTGCAAAACTCCCTTTTCGGATACCGGTAGGAATAATTTGATGGTTAGTTTTTTTTTTGTTAGTTTTTAGTTAGTTTTTATTTTCTGTTGGTTTATAAAAAAATCTGGAAGCATAGTAAAATAATTCAGAAAATACCTAACATATAATACTTGAAAGTTATTCTGTAGTGAGATATCCGTCATCACTATAATAAAATGTGCAAAACAACCACTACAAACAAATAATTGTATCAAATAAAATTTATTTTTTTTATTTTTAAATGGTTGGCCATACAATTTTGTTTTAGATAGAGACATATTGGAAAATAGGACCTGAAAATACGGCTAAAATCATATCACACATCGCTCATGTCAACGCGAGCTGCAGTTTGGAGACCCCTGATTTATATTATTAGTATGTTTTACTTTGATGATAATTAATATAACCAAGCTTTGTTAATTTGTATTTATTTTTAAATGTAGTTGGTGACTTGACTCTGATTATACCCCTTAGCTATTGTTCAACTATTTGTAACAGGTTACTTTTTATTTTTAATATCCTATCAATATTATTTCTAACATAAGTAACTTACCTGTTTTCATAATAGAGTTCTGAAAATATATTTTTTTATCTTTTAGTGGCTAAGCCAGAAAAGTTCCTTATACTCAAAACTCAAGAATAATGTTAACACTTTATTGTAGTACACTCTGTTATTTAAATAATACATCATGTTTATAAGCTATCCAATTCAAAATGTTACGTGTTGATTTTGTTTTCTTAATTTAAAATGTTGAAATATTTATGGTAAAAGTTTATGTAAATATTTTTTTCAGAGAGCATGTCCTTTATTTTTTTGTAAAAATATTAAATAGAAACTATTGTCTTATAAGCCATTTGTGTTTTTATTTACTGTTCCTAAAATTATGCAATTGGTTGTGGGGAAAAAATCTGAATTTTGGTGCAATTTATATTTCAATAGCATGGGTAAAGTATTGAAGCGTGTAATATAAAAAATCCACCAGGCTTGCAAGAACTGAATTGTTTTTATGATTTTGAGTGTAAATCAAATACTTTTAGCATGTTAACAAAAAAGTATCTAAGGACTTGCTCAGAATCAAACCTTTTAAATAACCCTTTTGGTACTAGAATGAAATTCAATTAAAGTAATAGAAATTATTAGTTTTATTTTGTGTGTATCTCTACACATTGTAGCTAATTATGTAACTCAAGAGGACAGTGCTAAATCTGATCTAGTTAGCCTATAAAATACTGAGTTTCAGATACTGACTACAACTCATCTATTGTATTTAATATTTTTACTGTCAAATACAGCAAAAATCAAATAAATACCTTTTGATTTCAGCAAAACTATTGCCCTTACAATTGATATTTAAAGCTTGTCAGAAGAAAAAAACTGAAAAAGAAAGGATTTTGAATAATGAATTGAAAAGTGACTAAAACTTCCTTATAAAAAAAATCACCAAATGTTTGTAACATTTAAACAAATAAGTTTCTAAAAACATTTTATACTAAAGATCGGTCACCAATTCAAAGGGCTAAACAATACAGCATTTGGATATTTTGACTTGTTTCTTAAAAACTATTTTATACGAAAATGCATTCCGACAAATTCAATCTTGCTGTTATAACTTAGTAATTCCAACCGAACAATAAGGTTATTTCAAGTAAATCCCATTTTTTTTATTATACTTATTTTTTAGTCTGATTCAAGTCATAGCTTACACCTCTTCATATTTCTAACACACAACTTATATTAAAACAGAATGTAGGTCAATTAATTCTTTTAAATGTGCTATTGTATTTAATTTGGGAGTATCATGTTTTTCCTTAAATGGATTCAAATATACAGGAGTTATTATTTTGTGACTTAAGTGAAATAGACAAGAATTGAAAGAAGTTGAAATAATAAAGAAATAATTGTCTAATTTAATAATTAATTAGTATTTTGAATTACCAAACAAACCTTTTTTATAAGGTTTCATACATTTTTGTTAAAGTTTGAAATCCAAGATGAATACAAATATAATACGCCATAATATAAATTTATAAGGGGTGGTCGATCAATAAATCAAATCAAATATTACTCTACTGAGTTGGTGAAAATAGTGAAGAAACCAACATTTTATCAAGCCATAGTTGGTAGCCTATATCAATTTTGAAGTGTTAACTTTGAAATTGTAAATTTATGGCTATCGTATATTTTTTTTTATGTGTTGCCTTGCATGTAGTAATTAACTCATAATCTACAGTATGTGCTTTTCTGCTTGTGATCTAGTTAGAAGTGGGAAAGTTAAAAACTAGTATTTTTTAATAGTTATTCTTATCAATGTATATGTTGGGTTGCAGTATCAGGCAGTTCAAAACACCAGACTTTTGCTCATCATCATTAGAATACAGTATATTTTGTATTTGTTTCCTAACTTGCATAGTAAATCCTCACATAACAGCCATTCATGATAACACTTTCTAATTTAACCTTACCAATTTGAACTTAAAATTTTATTGCCATCCTGGTAAAACGTAAATCACAAAATCTTTCTCTAAAAAAAGGTAAATGCAGACCATCACTATAAATCAATGTTGATAGATTCACTTGCATCTAATTATTTGTTTGTGAACTTTAAAGGTTTTCTACCAGCATTTTACTCAATTGTGTTCATAATTTCATTTATTTTGCTGAACTAATAGCAAGTTTTATTAGTTAACTTAAAAAAAAAAACTGATTAGTTCATGTCTAAACTGAACTTCTTTAAACTGAATTGATCTGTTTCAGGAATTAATTGAACGCATCAAGCAATTAGAAGCTCACAATAAACAGCTAAAAGGCATTCTCTCAAAGCACAATGGATCAGATGAAAGAGAAAATCTCAAAAGGAAACGACCCTTTGACTTTTCCAAGTAATTATAACAAAAGTAGGGGTGGTTAGAACTAGCTGTAGGCCTACAGTAATTGCCTGCTCAAACAGTAAAAACTTATGCAGGGTGTTCCCAATTAGTAATTACAAAAAAATTAGAAATAGACCTTATGATGAGTCCAACTCAAACAAAAATCAAGAAAATCCTAACACCTAGTGAGATAGGCTATCTGCCGTTTTGTTTTTCTTATTTAAAACTAGGATTGCTTTCATAGCAGTGGGGCGATCACTTTCATGGTTTTTTAATAAATACTTTAAGGGTTAAGCAATTAATCAAAAAATGTTTATAGATATAATACAAAAAACAACTCATCAATTTAACTAGTTTCGCTCAGAACTATCAACATCTATAAGGCGTGACCTACATTGGAAGCGAAACAAACTCGGAAAAGAAAACCCAAATTTAACTCCCATAGAAAATGTATAGGGATTAAGTTGCTTTTGCGCATTACTCGAAATAAACACCAAATAAATGAATTCCGATGATTGATGGTAAATCTGTGCTTGCATGCTTTTAATTTAAGACCAAAATTATGCAGATCAATTTAGTAGTTGAAGAGCCAAACCGACTCTGAAACTTTCTTGAAATCGCAGCAACCTGTGACGGGTAAGCTAGTTAAATTATATAGTAAACTGCTGTCATTTACAAGCAGTACTTCACAACCTAGATGTGTGCTCACCTGTGCCAGACGATTGGATCTGGCTTTTTAACTATGGAACCAATGTTTCTGAATTTTTTGTGCTACCTATGTATGGTCAGATATATTTAAGATTTTGTTTGAAGCAACATACTAAATGTTACCATCAATCGGGTCTTCATTTGTAACTCACATGGTAGTAAGTTTTTCAATCGCACATGTAATACCTATTTATTGTAAGGATAGGTTTTAGCTTCCTGAGTACAATTGACTAGTGTGGAGTGTGGCCAAACTCCCAAAAACTAATTTACAATCTTCATTGTAGATATCCAAAAATGCATGTGGCATTTAAGCTTTTATACTTTGGCTGGGACTACCAGGGATTTGCTGCTCTTGAGGAGAGCTGTGATACCATCGAGCATCATCTGTTTGCAGCTCTTCACAAAAGTTGTCTTGTTGAAAGCAAGGATACCTGCAACTACTTCCGATGTGGTAGGACGGACAAGACCGTGAGCGCTTTTGATCAGGTAAGACCTATTTTAAAAAACCTGGTGCGTTCTGGGAACAAACATCAGTTTAGTTAAAACTGTGTAACATTTGTGCTATTAAATTGTGCACCAGTAGCTGACGTAGAGGTTTGGAAAGAACCTATGTTGAACATACAGTCTGCTTCATGACCTATGCTGTCCTATATATTGCCAGTCTATGTCTTATTTTACAACAATGTCATATTTAACATAATCTAAGAGAATCTATCTATCTATTATTAATAGACAAGCATGTTTCTTTAAAACCTTTTTTCTCAGCTTGTGTGCATCGCAGGGGAAATCTATGCATACTGTTAGAAAGATATTTTCCTGTAGATGTACAGAATCTCTTTAAAAATTAAAATAGGCTCAAATATAAGCACAAAAAATGAATTTGAAATTTTAAAAAAATTAACATGGGCTTTATGGGTTGCCATGCTGATGACAAATATATAAACAGAAAATCAAAACAAATGGAATAAATTACAATCACATGTTTTATTTACAGCGTGGGGTGAAAATAGAGAAGCCTGTACCTTTGACTTACAACTATAGTTCGGCCGCTTAGAAAACGACCTGCGCGCTAATGCTAAACCAATGCTGGAGGAGGTCGCTTTCTAAGCGGCCGAACTATAGACATTCCATCCCTATGTTTATATTATAGACATTCCATCCCTATGTTATATTATATTTTTGTTAAAAAGAAAAAATGTAAATTTTCTTTCTTAATTTTTGTGAATCAATTGGACCTCGCCCACAACTTTTGTATACTTGGCGAGGCCGATATGTTGTATTATCACAAATAAATATATTTGAAATTTGAATGATAAATTTGTCGCCAGTTTTAATTAAATTCGTCGTAGTACTCGTAGTTGATGTGGGCCACCAACAGATTGCACTGATCTAAATGACTAATTTCTCTTGAATACACGATGATTTTTACCAAGTCAAACTAATGGAATGACTTATTAAGAGCTATAGCAACTAACTGTTATGACCCATCAACTTTGTCAGCAACAAAAAATAAGATAGAAAATATAAAATTTTAGACACGCATACTGTGACTGGTTCACACAACTACATGTTTTTAATTTAAAAAATGGCGACAAATGGTCCATATAGATGGAATGTCTACATCATAACCCAATATTTAATGCAGGTACATTACATATTTTTGGTCGAGTTTTCGACCACTGGACGACTACTAGTATATTTAAAAAAGTGACAAAACTGACTTGCAAACTTTCACATTGTGTTAAAATATAAAATGTTTGTGATAAACTCATCCCCTTTAAGGTAAAATAACTAGGCCTAAACATGGGCTTTTGAATAAAACTAGACCTTCAGTCTATTTTTTTTCCCAACTAGAAGAGTTTGACCAGTGTTGAGTTAAATGATATTTTTATTTTGAGGCTGAAAACAAATATTTAGTAGTAATATTATAGAAGACACAGTTTAAGAATAGGGTGGAGAAGTGCCAACATTTAAGGTATTTTGGCTCTAACTTTCTTCTCTGAGTTCATCAATGGAAAATTGCATTCTTTTCTGATATAAAGTAACATATAAAGTCAAATACATTAATTACCGTAAATATTATTTCAAAACTCCCAGAACGCTTGAATAATTTGGAACCTAACTATAATAAAATAATTTATTTTCACTGGAAAATCAATCACTTCCGTTTTGTACATCCTCCTGCTTAAAGTGGAAAATTCTAATTTAGTACGTCCATAGGCGTGAGTAAAAAAAAAACTTCTC